GCTGTGCCTGTTCTAAAGTGAAAGGAAATATAAATGTATTTAGAAGAGAAATCCATTTTGTTTTGGTTTGATTTTTAATGGTAGTTCTCGCAGGCATTTCTAACAAAGGCTTTAAGATAGTTGCTTCTTAGGAAAAATTCATTAGGGAAGAAACCTTTGACCAGTGTTTTTAAATTATGTATGATATGCCCAGAATTCTGTGTGCCTACTTATTTTGCAAATATTCTGTTTGTAGCAGCAAATTTAAATAACTTGCCTGACTAGTCATGGTATGTGCAAATGTTCAGCTGATGTGTTTGTACCTATCCACTAAAAATCTGTTTTCCTCGTAGTTATAAGGGTAAGATTTCATTTGCAAGTTTTGTAATTTCCAGCTTGTACACATCTGCTGAACTCCTACTCCCAATTGCTGGTACTCCAAAATGATGATCTCTGAACTAACTTTTCTAGCTGAACTCATAGCTCACATTTAGAGCATGTAAACATTTTAATAAAGATGGAAAAGCAACTCTGCTAACTGCTAAAGCAACACAGAATGGATTTTCAGAAGGCTGAAAAGAAAAAAAGGGAAAGAGTGAAAGCACCAAGACAGTATTTGATCATATATCCCACAGTACAGTACAAGCAGAGGTAGAAATGCCAAGTGCTGCATACCACATGCTAAGTGCTGCTGTATGGACCAGGCACAAGAAGGTATAACCAACACTACTTGAAAGGCGGGGAAATCAGATCAGAATGATCTCTGGGTGTCTGCTCCCCCCTTGCTCAAGCAGGGACACCCAAGATCACATCCAGGCAGCTTTTGGAGATCTGCAATGAAGAGACTCCATAACCTCTCTGAGCAACCCATTCCCGTGCTCAGTCACCCTCAGAATAAAAAAGTGCTTAAGAAAAAGTGTTCAGAAGGAACACAAAAGTTTTATTAATTTGCTAGCTTGAGACCACTATTCATGTAGAAGAGATTAAAAACAAACAAAACAAAACCAAACAGCAACAAAAAACAGGCAAGCTGGACTCTGCAACTGGCATTTTCAACTCACAGTGAAATTTATGATGTAGAAGTATATGAGTTACTTTCTACTGAGGTGCCCTTTTTATTTTCAGGCCTTCCCTCACTTCCTCACTTTTTCTTTTTGTCCTTTTCTTTTTCTATTTCCATTTTCATTGGATGGGAATCTCTGAACTTTGACTGATTAACTCAGTCTTCAAAAAAAGCCTACAAACCAAACAAAGAGAAAATCTAAGTACATTAAATCTTGCCAGCTGGTTTCAGTTAATTTTCCTTTACCAGCATTAAATTTGGCATTTCTGGGGCTTTTTTTCCCCCTTTATTGGCACTAAATTAAAACTGGGGAAAAGATTTATATAAGCAAATTTATATTTTAACAGATTCCACCAACTTGTTCAGGTTGCAATGTTAATGTTCTTAAATCTATCCTGAAGCCAGTTTACTCAGTAAGAACAACAACAAGAACAAAAATGTCAAGGAAAAACAGGAGAGGCAGAATAGACATTCTCCAGGAACAGTTAGAAGCCAAAAGCTGTCAGAGTCTCTGAAAAGTTTCAGGATTAAAGGAAATGCTTGCAGCCATTCCTCCCGCTCATGTGTAATTACTTATATGCAATTGAGTAATAATTGCAATTGAAATCATATGAGTGATTTCAGCACTCAGCATTTTGATCATGGATCATAATCTGGATTTATAATCATGGACAAATTAAAAACTAAAATGCTGTGGATCTCTTGAAGAAATATATTTGTAAATGATGTCAGAATTGTGTTACCAGATGAAATTGTAAGTATGTTTGAAATTAAATTGGAGATCTTAGCAAAAGGACTTCCATTTCACTTCTTTACATGAAAGCACCCATGCCAAGTTTCTTCCATCTACTCACAAGTGGTACAAGATCAAGTCATTTCCAGTGAAATCCATGTTATAACAAGATAACAAATGTGATGTACTTCACAAACAGTGTTATCTCCTTCAACCAGATACAAACAGTGATGCTACAGGTTAGGTGCCAATTTCTTTCACAGAAATGACATGTTGTAAATCGCTCCTGCTGTATTGCCCTGTATCTAGTCATATTGTAACCCAGCTTCTGCAACCCCAGAATAGACTCATTCATAACATAAGAAGCACATGGCAAAACTTATATTATAAAAAATAGAAGTACCATACCTGGGAGTTGGAAGCTGAAATCTGAAACAATGACTATTCCTTTTTCACAGGTATTGTAATTTTTGCCCTTTTTGTCCTGCCATCATTGAATGATAGGTAACTGTGTGCTTTGTTTTCCAGCAGGGTTGATTTTCATGATAGGTATCAGGGGTTCTCCAGCCTTTATTCTAAAATCCCCCATTCTTTTAAAATAAAATAGAGATGCCTTCTATTTATTACAGTGTGAAAATATTTTACTTGCCCATTCTATAGGTTTTTGAAATAACATTAAGAAAAAAAAGTTGTCTTAAGTACTAAGGTCATATTTATGTAAAGAATTGTTTTAGAGATAATGGCTGTAAAGTATCTTATTCTTTGAAAGAATAATGCCAATTGTGCACAGTCCAAATTGCACTTGATCTCTATGCTGTGGAGAGTATGAGACAACTGTGGACTCCTGGCTGCAGAAAGACCAATATACATATCATGAAAAACAAATCTGATTTGGACTCTTAGGAAAGGCAAGAGAGGGAAAAGCGTTTCAAGTACTCGATCTGTTTGATACTTTCCAACAGGTTAAGTCTTTAAAATGGCTCATCATGAACTCCCATAGGGAGTCTATGTCAAAGTAATAGGATTTTTGATGGAGTGCCTATTGCTCTGACTGTATGTGAGACTAAAATTTCTGAGCTACTGAGAGTCCTCAGCAGAGAAATTACAGTCCCAGGTACTTACCTACTGTGGACCAAACACAAACCTGTTTGTAACTCTTTTTACAGATACAAGCAGTCAATACTTTGAAAAATTCAGACCCACATTGTGCAGGCTAGGTTACCCATTTCCCCTTTTGCAGCAGGTACAACTGAGAAAACTAGTACAGAAAATGGAAGCTTGTTCTGAAATGGATATTTGGAGAAAAAAGAAAAGGCCGTCTACCACAAGTGACCAGCTCCATTCACATAAATCATTAAGTGCCACCCATAAAATGCCACAGTGCATATGGTCAGCAAGGGGTTATTGTTGAGTGCATAACCTGGGGGAAGTGGGGTTGGGATATACTGGCTGAAGGGATGAGGACATAAAATCATGTGTTTGGGATCTTGAAATTACTTTTCCTTTGACTGGGGAGTGCAGGCTAAGTAAACTTACAGTGACTAGTAATTTAGCAGTGTTTCATCTATTTAAACTCTAGCTCTTTCAAGGCCCTATTGCCCCACCTTTGTTTTCATGCAATATGGGAGCAGTTACAGCTGGAAATACAACATCTTTGTATCTAGCCTATCACTTTGAGAAGATTTAAGGGGAAAGTTTCTGCATTATTTAGTGTATTAGAGTTGAAAGCAGTTAAGACAGCAAATTTAGTATTAGAAAACATGAGCATGCTATTTCACAGTAACTTGTAGCTGATATTAGAGGTAGTTAAAGACTGAATAGATCATCTTCAATGGACTAAATGAGATCAAGATCTAGTTGTCTTTGTGTTATCAGGCAAAGGAAAACCTTGGATCTGTCTCAGCTGAGGTCTTTGAAAATGTCTATTGTTTCTGATCAAAAGTGTAGTAGGTAAAGTGGATTCTCTGAGGTAGGCTTTGGAAGTTCTACTTTAGGTTTCTCATACTCATTCTCATTAGATGCAGAATGCTCCAACACTGGATTCAGTTAAAAGCCTGGAGTGCAAATATGAGGTGTCTGGTATTTATATATACATATATATATATATGCAGTATGCCCTTCCAGAGATAAATGAATGAAATTGTGCAAGATGTGAGGACACAGGGAGTAGAAAATTAAGCTCTCATTCAGCTTTAAGCAACTAAATAATGTGTTATCCTCTATGTGGAAAGCTTTATGCGGGATATGGTTGAATAGGGTCTTAGATCAGATATTGTTCAGGATTTAGTCACAGGATAAGAAGAGTTAGAAGAGATGTCTGGAGATCATCTAGTCCAACTCCCCCAGCTAAAGCAGGTTCCTTGCAGTAGGGTTACACAGGAAACTGTCCAGGTGAATTTTGAATATCTCCAGAGAAGGAGATTCCACAACTCCTCTGGGCAGCCTGCTCCAGTGTTCTGTCACTCTCAGAGATGGTTTTTCTCATGTTTATATAGGACAGTTTGTGTTTATTACCCCTTAGTCTGTCACTAGGCAATGCTGAAAAGAGATTGGCCCAATCCACTCGACACCTGCCCTTTAGATATTTGTAAACATTGATCAGATCCTGTATCAGTCTTTTCCCATAAGGGAAATGCTACAGGACCTTAATCATCTTCGTGGCACTCTGCTGGACTCTCTCCAGCAGATCCCTGTCTTTTTTGAACTGATGAGCCCAGAACTGGACACCGTACTCCAGATGTGGCCTCACCAGTGCAGTGTAGCAGGAGAGGAGAACCTCCCTCAACCTACTGGCCACACGCTTGTTAATGCAGATGTAATAGTTATAACTTAGAAGGTCTGCTAAAAAGAACTGTGGATGTAAATGTTTTTTAAAAGTTTTTAAAACTGATTTGATTTATGAATATGAGAAATTCTTCTGTTTCTACTGCTTCAGAATGCCAAGGAGCTAAAAGAATATAGTACACTGTATATCTAATTTTTAGCAGCGTAAAGACATTATCTGAGTGGAGGGGCATATGCTGAGAATGGGAACAGCTTCTGGGAAGTGAAGAAAGTAGTTTTATTTTAAGAATGAGTTATGCCAATTTGTTTATCTCTAACTATTTCAAGTGCACTATATTCTTTTATTAAATCATAATCCTTCTATTAACATGCAAATCGTTGCTTTCTGTTTTCACAATATCTGTAAAAACACTATAGTTCCATTGAGGAAAAGTATAATCATTCTATTTTCATCCCAAAACACATTTTATTGGGAGTTGTTAGGTAGATGGCCTCTCATGCACAAACTCATAAAGCAAGGTTTATTTCAATTTTCTCAGTTAAAGTCAGTGCACAGTCGTATGGTAACTGTTGAGCCATGGGCTGAACCACTGAGTGAGCACCTGGAGAAAAGACCTGTTCAGCCCTGGGAGCACAGGTGAAGGCAATTCATCTGTGTGACTAGAAGGGGTGGAGCCTTGTTCCACCTCTCTTAGGCCTCATTTAAGGGGTGACTGCCCTTAGGTAAGAATCTTTTTCTGGAGGCCTCCCTTTAGTGAAGCTTTTCTCCATGAATCTGGGCTTTTCTGAAATGGGTGAGCAATCTTCTTTCTTTATAGCCCCTCTCTGTCGTCCTGGTCTTTCTGTTATCATACCTTTGTTGTAACAGCTTTCTCATAGCATTGATCTGTTTAATTGCTACAATAGCTCTGCTTGTATATCTGGGAAAATAACAGGTGTCTATGAGGAGACAGGTACACTGAGATTTATAATGTAAACAGGTAGAAAACGCATTCTAATTTAACAACTTAAGGCATGCTTAGATTTTAGTGGTGCTAGTAAAACTTGTCTGAAGGAGTCATTTTTAGTACTGGGGAAGAAATGGTTTAATTGCAGCTGAAATGTTTTTGGTGGTCCTCCTTACTTGCCTTGAGCAAAGACTGATGAGTAGTAGTAGTGACAGCTGTGCTTGAAGCACGGAGAGAGACTATAGCTCTCAGCTTCAATTTGTGACTGCACAGAAGCACAGCTTACTGCTTGAAATCTACAGCCAACCATATCTGTTAGAAAACATACTTCTGTGCACCAAAAAAAAGCTTTCTTATTATTTATCCTAGGAAGTGGTAATGCCATCTCTACTTAAACCTGCATATACCAGTTTCCACATGATACTTTTGTAAAAGGTCTGGTGTTTCCTTTGTTATTTCTCAAGCTCCAAAAGAAAACTTAAGTGTAGCTAACGTAACATCAGTGACTTTCTTTTATTACTTTTATTACTTACTTTTATTACTTGGGAGTGGATGATAGCTGAGAGTGCTTTAAAGCTGCAGAACTGGTGTCAATTCTACCTGTGAAATGCAGAAAAGTAGCAGCAGGATCCTGCTTATTGGGTGGATTTTGCAGGATCTCCATTGTCACATAACATGATACCGTGTAGTTCAGTTATTGGAGCTGAAACAGCATGTTATAATGTCTTTAAAACATTAAGATCCTAAATATTTTTCAGGATAATGGAATGGGTGTTGTGACCGTGATACCTTGTTACGTGGTTTTTAACATAGCTGGATTAAACAGCCATAGTGTGGTAAACTGAGTGTAGGTCTCTCCTCTTCTGTACATTTCAATTCTCTTACCTATCAAAACAGTGTACTGATGAAAAAATTTAAATTTGTCATCCAACTACTTTCAGGACTGGCAAGATGTTGATTTGGGTAGGTGGATTGCAGTTTTTCATGGAACCTATAGAAGTTGAGCTGGTCACAATGGTGCTGTCGTGAATTTGGAGTTGAAGAGTGCTAATAAAACTCTTGTATTTCCAATGGCTAAGCTACTGAACATCCTCTACTACAACACTTGAATCTTTTTGTGTCTAGTTCTGGACAAGTTCCTCTTAAGAATTTCTTCTCTAGGTATTTGTTGGGGAACTGTTAGGTTGCAGCTTGAGCCAGTGATTGAGCACCTGGTGAAGGGCTGTGGCTGGCACAGGGAGTACAGGCAGATTGTTTGCACCTGTGTTCCCAGTGTGAACGAGAGAGTGGACCCCGGATGGAGCCAGCTGCTGAGAGTTTCTCTCAAGCTATGCTGCTTCTTGAGAAGTGCTGCATGACTGGAGAGTGCATTCATCAGTTGGGTGAGTTCAGCTTTTTTTTTTTCTTTTTTTTCTGTGCATGATTATTGACCTGACTTTCAATACCTTGCCTGGTATCACTGAGTACATGTCAGAAGCAGTTTTACTTCTCTGTGAGCAGAACAATACTTACCTTTAAAGTTTAGCATTTAAATATCTTCAATTACTTGGCTATCAAGGAACCAAAAGTAGATATAACAAGAGAAATAAAATTACACAGGAGGTGTGCTTATTGCAGGCAAGCTAATATTTTTATTGTGCAAACAGGGAACCAGCATCATTATATGTTGACTGTAATGCTAAATGTGCTACCCAACCTCTTTGTCCCTGTTTGCTGGTCTGCAAAATTATGGTGATGATACCTATTATGCATAATTGTTGAAAGAATTAATTCATTAATGTTTGCCTGGAGTTTTGAAATCTTCTAGCAGAAGGTACTGCGCAATTGCAAAGAGTTAATTTAGTATTCTTTACTATCAATAGTATTCAATAGGACATGTAGTATAAACTTTTAAAAAAGCAAACAAAAAGCTAATCAGGAGTCTCTTATTCACACTGTCAAATGCTGGTAATGACCAAATAGTCTTGTTTGTAGAAATAAAAAAAAAAAAAAGAAAGAAACATGCTACTTGGTATGTTGAAGCAGCAATTAGCACACATTGTAGGGAGAAGAAGTGGAGCTAGACCAGAAATGAGCCTTGATGAGCCTAATTGCCTTTAATTATCCCTAAACATTTTCTTGTTGTCTGTCTTATGGAGACTCTGAAGAAGCCCTGTAGGTCTAAAAGGAAATAAGGCTTCGTTTTGTTTTTTTCTTTTAAAGGGGGACATAATAGCCACCATGGAAACATGTTCTTAATCAATGACATTAAACTCCTGGCTGTTCTGCTTCTCTTGAAATTGCCTGTCTTCATTATTACCAGGGGAAAGGAGGAGGAGAAAGGGTTTAATCACTATTTAGCTTTTCTTAGCAAATTAAAATATTAATTACAATACACATTATTTTATCTCTGCTTAAGCTATTTCTGAGTATTGGTGAATGAGAGCTCACTTTATATTGGAGTAATTTATTCTCAAACTATTCAGACTTTCAATTCCTTTTAAAAAATCATTGTGGCATGAAATGTTATCTTCTGAAAGCCAGGGAAATCTGTATCTTTTCCAATTCTTTGTCTTTTTTTTTTTTTTTTCCCACATGCAATGCGGTAATCAACTAGATTTTTTTGCCAGTTCATAGAATAATGGGGGGGGGGGGGGGGGGAAGGATACTTTTAAAAAAAAATATATATATATATATATACATGTGGGTGTAAAATCTCTCCCTCTCAAAGTTGATGAAACACAGAAGAACGGTGGGATTAGGAAAGTGACTTGCACAATGAGCAAGGTAAGTACTGTTATGCATCCTTCTTCAGTGTTGTACGCAATTTTGAGTGTGCCCATGCCCCTTTCAATTTTTCGGTGCTGTTATATTTCACTGGGAAGAAAATTTGGAGAAAGGGAACAAATGATTAAGTAATGTCTCTGCATCATATTGTGGCTTACTAAAGATTTTAAAATTAAAATGTATTGTGGCATAAATTGGTATATTTCTATTAGCTGTAATGAAGCTATGTTGATATATAATAACTGCAGATATAGTTAATTCATCTCTTGAATTAGTTTGTGTCAGAATTATATGCAATGCTGTAAGAAGCACATAGCAGTATGCCAAGCAGATGTATTCCTACATTCATTGCTGGTATTGCTCTAGGTCACCAGACAATAGGTAGAGGCATATTTTCACTAAACAATGATCTGTGTCTTCTACTTTCTTCATAGTGTTTGCAGAGTTTGTGAATATTGCTGGAAAAACCAGAGCATGACTGGAAGCTATGAGAATGATTAGCCTCTATTAAGAGAGCACTATTAGTCATTGGATGTACATCTGGAGTCTGAACACTCAATATTATTTAAGAGAGATGTGGGCTGATCTAATTAAATCAAATTAACAAAATGAAACTTATGGATAAACAAGGGAAAAGACAATATGAATCTTGCCTTGAAAGTAAATCTGTGTTCTTTTTTGTTTTTAATAGTGAAGTTAGTAATTAAGGGGGGGAAGTGAAATTTGCCAGTGGCAACTCCCATTTCAATTCAGTTCTAGACCCGACCTCTTTTACCATCATGATCTCTTCCTTTCACCTTAAAGAGCAAATACTACAAAAGCTCAGGGTATGTGTGCAGAAAGGGTTAGCCAATCCAAACAGTAATTTTAATTGTAGCCATGGGAAATTCAGCTTGGAAGACTTGTCATGAGGTCAAAGGATTGTCTTTTCTTAATTGCAAATACCTTGTACAGGCTTACTCCTAGACATTCTTGCTGACCTATGTTATTGACAAGGTCTGACTTAGTGGTCCTTATTTATTTTGTATGGCACCTCATTCTCTTGCCCTGTTACAGAGTCTTGAGTCTTTTCTTGTTATCTTTATTGATGCTATTGTTCTTATCCTACAAATAAACTGAGAACACTGCATTTTGAAGCCTAACTATAGGATAACTAGTTGAAGTGGAAACAATATGGCCACTTCTTATTCTTTCTATTTTATTTAAACACAAAAATACAGCAAAAATCTGTGAGCTCCTACAGGCCTGTATTTATACTACCACAGCACAGGATCCAGCATACTGCAATACTATCCTTTGCTTGCAACTTTCCGCTAAGTCTAGATCCAGGGCATGAAGCTAGGTCTGTAGCCCAAGTAAGCAATTCATTAGATTGATGGACTGCTAAATGTTGTTCTGTTTTGGAGGCTTCAGGAGTTTTACCATCTGTAGTACCAGTAAACTACTGTCAGAAATTGTTTTTCTTGGCATCTTCAAATGAATTTTTCTTATTGAATACAAATAAGAAATATTCAGAAGACTTTTTTCCTGACAGACCTTTTGGTTTAGTTTAGGTTTGCTGCAGAGCACAGCTAGTAACAACAGTGTGATGTGGGCATTGCTTAAGCTATGTGTTTTCCCTTACTTGGAGTGATGCTTTCATTGTGCTTCAGCTGTTTAGAGAAGACCAGATGCTCTTTGAAAATGAGCGGAAAGCATCTTCAGTACATTTAGTTTCACAGGAAAATTATGGAAGTGATTTAAACACACATTACTTCTGCTGTTACCTTTATAATTCCCTCTTCCCCTAGGTTTCCTGAAGTTACTCGAACAAATTCCTAGCTGAACTAAGAAATGAAGTCTTTGAGAGTTCCTCAGCAAAGTATCTATATTGTCTGCATGGGGATGATGAATTGGTGGTTTTGTGTAGGATTATGTACATCTTGTGCACAGATGTTTGACCTTCCCTTTAGACACATGTTACTTATGTATTTAGTGAGGAATGGCATTGGCTTTCCAGTAAGAGGTTGGATCAGGCCCTTTGAAGGCTTTGTTTATGCTTCTCCGTGGCAGAATCAATGCAAGCAAGTCAGTGATTGCTATTTGCCCCTTTACCTGTGTCAGCAGAATTCTGTACAAGCCAAGAGGAATCCAGGAATTAGAAGGCTTATGGGAGGTAAAGGGAGATAAGTTAATAGGAACCATACTACTACAGCTGCTATATGTGTACCATTTTATTTGCTCTGTGATCTTTGCTTGCTTTATATGAGGCAGCACTTGACTGGAGAGTTTAGTCCTGAAATTGGGTTTAGCAACTGAGCTGCCACTGAATTTAGTTGGGTTGGAAGCCAGAAGCAGATGTTTTTACAAATGTGAAATGCTGTGTATCTGTTGATTTTACAGCTTCTGTAGAGCTCGTAGTTTCTCTTACTTTCTAAGGTGTAACCTTGTCTTCCTAAGGATCTTGGCTTTGAGGTGCTGGAGGGTTAGCATGATCCAGAAGCAGTTGCAGGGCAGTGAGGCTTGGTTTCTCAGCTCCTGGTGAGCTGCAGTAAACACTGACCTAAGCAGTTAATGTGTACTGTCATTCAATACTTTGTTAGATTTTTCTGTGGTGTTTTTTATTTTTTCTTAAACTTGGTTCTGTCTATGTGGCTTCAAAAGTTGCTCTTTTTTCCCCCTGCTGTGGAGGGAAACATGCTGAAGATGAAGCAGCCTCATAGACTGACTGTGCAAGGTCAACCACAGTGAAGTCTAGCACTTTCCTCTAAAATACATGAGATAAGCACAGGACTTTCACTTGACTCTGCTTTTCTCTTTAGTTTTGGAAAAGCTCATATCTAGAACCTACTTGGAAGTAAGATCAGGAAATGCATGTCTCTTCAAGTCAAAGAGAAAGCAAGAGTATGCAGGCTTCCTACTGACATTAACTGAATGCAGTGTAACAATATATAGGGGGCACAAACACAGTTCATTAACTTGTTGTGGATGCGACAGTACAAACTTCAGGCTAAATCTCAAAGCTCGGTGCATCTAAGGGAAGTCTGTATTACAGTAGTTTCCTGTGTTACTATAGTTTGAGTACTTCTGCTAGTTGCTTAATTTCTTTTTGCCCTAATAAGTCATCTGTGAATGAGAATTTAAGATGAGGGACTGAGAATGCTTCTTAAATTGATAGCTATCAGTAACTGTCAGTGAATGGACAAAGCCAAACAGAGAAGCAAAAGGCAGTAAAGATCTGTCCCTCAGGATTTATCTCTATCCACTCAAAGATAACACATCTCTTTGTTAGTGAAGTGAGAACTATTCTAAACTCATTGCTTACTTCTCCTGGAAGTAGTTTCATGGTGAATGGGCAGTTCTGGCAAACAATTCTTAAAATTATATTTGATAACAATGAATTTCTGAGGAGTACTGTGGAGTCTTGAAAGCAATTCTGCTCTTTGACTTTCCATAATCTATGAAAGAACTTGTGTTACAGTGTGATGTGTTTAAAGATTACTAGGTTAGTGGTGGTATAAGAAACAGTACAATGTTCACAGAGTGGTGCTTTGCTGAAGTAATTGTATTGATGACGAAATGTGTTCCTCATCGGAGTTTCCAAGCATGTGTAAGTGCACAATGGTATGACTATATTGCTTCTTACTGTTACCTATTTAATTCACAAATAGTAGTTTAGTATATCCTTATATTGGGACCATCCTCCTTATTTCATAGTTCCCTTAATCACTTAAGTTTCTTTAAAGTTTGCAGCAGTAGAGGACCAATGGTGGATCTCTGTAAGTATGGAAAATTGAAAATCTTTCAGGGTGTGAATAGTTAAATTGGAGATGTTCAAGCAACCTTGACTCCAAAACAAAGCTGTGGTAGATAAGGGTGAGTAGTTTTTTCTTGCTAATGTAATTTCTCAAAGTTTTAATTTGTGTTTTCAGTGCTACCAACCATGGAAGCTTCTGTTTGAGGCAGGATCAAATTGGGAACTGTAATACTGAGCCAAACAACAGCTCAGTAGTGAAAGCAGTAGCCTTCACTCTGGAGACTATTGAACTGATGTCTTAGAGTGTAAAATTGCTCTTCTGAAACTGCTAATAAACCACCCTTTGTCTCCAAAGAGCAATTTTGTCTCGTATGCTATGCTGTACTTCTGCTTATATTAATTAGAACTGTCCTCATTTCTGATCTCTGCTGTTTTTTCCTCCTTTGCCTCTTTCATCACTCAGCAGCAAGCTTGTATTTTATGTGCAAAATAAATGTTAGTCCTGTGTAAACATCCTATATAAGGTTTATGTACCACTCAATTTCACTTAAATATGTTGAACTGCAGGTGACTTGAAAGCTGTCTAGACTTATATTAGCTATCAGTGTGAGGTGAATGTTACCTGTTAAGCAATGCTGTATGGCCTGTTGTGGCTTAGAATTAATATTATGAAATGGATTCTCAGGCCATAGTGTTTCCTGCTGTAGCAGCTGCTGACAAGCTGATGTCATCTAAGTCATTTAGAAACCTGTGGGCTACTGAGAACTCTCCTCTGCTGTTGGAGTAGATACATGTTGTTTTTCCTTGCCAAAAAAGAAAAGCCCATGAGTGATACATATATGTACCTGTGGCACAGGTACTTGTGATAATTCAGCAGGAGATAAGGAAACTAGAAATTTTTGTATGTTTCTGAAGATGTCTTTAAAACAAAAAAACAATTCTTATCAAGGAATGATTGCAGCATGAGTAGATGTATTCTATCAGAAGTGGAAGAGACCTGTTGAGAAATCTTCCCAAGGACTTCAATCTAGTATCCAAAAATTGGGTATTTTTTTAACCACCTGTAATGTTCAGGAAATAATTTTTATGTGGTTGCAGGCTTACCTGAAAAAAAAATTTTAATTGCAGCTGACAGTGGGTTTAATTCTAGCTTATGGTACCTGTACAATGGTAATTGGTCTTCTTGAACACGTGGTCAAATATAAATGCATGCTATGTCAAATACATCCAACCCATTAACTTACAATTGTTCTTGACATTTTAGGGTTAATAGAAATATGAACAAAAGAAACTTAATTGGTTCATTCGAGTTACTAAGTTTAGACAGAACTCTATACTAGGTTAAAATTGTCCATGACTTTACTAGCTGTTATCTTTCAAATATTTTAGCTGTTGAGACGTTCATTTTAAATTGGAAAAAAAAATCATTCCTTTGTCTTATTTTCAATAACCTTGGTTTAAAAAAAAAAAAAATTAGATTTTCATCTTTCTTACCTTTTTGATGCTGTCTGCAATGAATGCCAAGTAATCAATAATCTTGACCTAGGATTTATTTTGCAGCCCTGGACTGACTTTAAAACTTGTCAGGTTGCATTTTTCCAGCTTTTGTTCTCATGCCATATAAAGCTAAAATTATAGGATGGAAAGAGGGGAAGTAGGAATAACTACTGAAACTCTCAAGATACAAGCAAATTTAAGTTCATCTTCTCATTTCTAAATACAGTGTAAGGTGACAATAGCACTCCTTGCTAATCTTTACCAATGGAACTTGCCCTTCGTGATGAAGAAGAGAGCCTATGCAAATCCCTGTGCTTCCAGGCTGTTCTCCTAGCAACAGGAGAAGCAATTGCCCTGCCATAATTTGCAGGCTTTAGACAGCAGGCATATAGGTCTTGCTATTGTCTTCCAAATACCTTATTTTTAAATAGGTGGTTGGAATAGAAAACTGTATCCTCAAATCTCTGCTTTTATTGAGGAGAGCTCATCTGACACAATAACCCAGGTCAGAAGGGAAAAGTGGGTAATCTTAGGAAGTTGCAATCTGAAAAAAAGAGGAACTATATCTGTTTTCTTCCCCAGCTGCTGCTGAGCTCCAGAAGTACAGAAAACCACATCTGCAGAGGATTCATTTTCAGCCCTAAAATCTGGAGAAATGAAGTAAAGTTTACTACTGAACTAGAATGATATTTTTTTTTTTACCTGCCTGAAGCAAAGATGTAAGATTTGGATTTACTCTGAACCACTAATTCTCCATTTCTACCAGTGCTTCAAAGAGTTATCATTCATTTTGTACCACTTTTTACATCTCCATTGCCCTTCTTTAAGTTTGCTCTTCTCTGTGTGTCTGACCTCTGGTAGGGATGGGGACGTTAAAAGATCCACTGATCTGTTGAGAGTAAAGACTAGGACTTCAAAAAAGATGAATGTGTATTTACACATTGGGTTTACTTTTGTCACTGAAACTTGAATATGTTTTTAAAAATGGGGCAGGGTTTGTTCGTAGTATGGTAACTTTTCTTATGTCTTTCGGTATACATTTGTGGTTGAACAAAGATGAAGATTCCTATTTCACAGTATTTCCAATTTAAACTACAGTATTAATACAAACATTAAAGGAGTGTTATGATTATCTCCTTGCACGAGAGTATGGCAATGTATTTGAATATAAAATAGCAAAGGTTGTAATATCCCACTTTCTTCTGCTAAACCACTTCATACAGTTGTGCATTAACAGGAAAATGTTTGAGAGATGAGATGATTTAAGATGAGGTTAAATGAATTAAAATCTTACAGATATTGTGAAAATTATGGGCTTCATATGTCTTACATATTTTAGTAATACCTCCAGATCAGCGGACTTGCATGTTCTTATCTTTGTATGTAATTCTGTTGTGATTGAAGTAAAATAGTGTGTGATACTCTAAGGATCATAGCCTCAACTAATAAATATGGAAACAGTGTAAACTTTCTGTTAAAGGAATTAGACATGTAACAGCAATTGCCCTGTCTCTTAGAATTGCCCTGAAATCCCATCTGAGATGCTCTCTGGGCAGATGTCTTTGCTTGCAGTGTCTAAAGTAACACTAGATATCAATATTTAAGCACAGAATTGTTTTCATTGTTTATTGCTTGGTTGCTTCTTGCGTCTTACAGGAGTAGAAAAATCTCAGATATAATTAGACAGCCGTGGAGGTTTGCCCTTGGAGTGCAGATCTAAGTTGTGGATTTTTTTTACAGCTGTTCCTGAAGCTTGCAAAAGGTTGTGTGGAAAGCAGCTGCTTAGAAGCCTTATTTTAACAGGAACCTACACTAGGGAATACTTCTGGTTTTCTCTACGTTTATGCCCATCCATTGTCTTTGTGGAAAAAGAACTGTGCCCCATTGTCTTTGATCTGGAATATGCTGTGAGAAATTTGCCACCAGTTTTTCTTGTATGAATTGTTCCAGGGACTGAACATGCACAAAGAAACAAAATACCTGTTAGTGAAAGTATTCTTCCTCATAGTTAGGGAAAAGTATTTTAAGAGAAAATCTTGAGGCAAACTTTACTGATACAAGCAATGTATTCTCACATATCTTAGTAACTTCTGTATTGAATTACTACATGCACATTAAATTCATCTTTATTCTTTGGATTAATATAGCAGAGTAGCTCCAATTTTGAACCTCCACACAAGCCTGAAAAAGTATATACGAAAGTAGTTGGGTCATATCTTAATCCAAATGAACTTTATTTAGGTAATCATTTTAAAAGCTCTACGAGGTTGATATTAGCTGATTGACTAGTTTCCTAAATCTAAGCCAAAGTCTTCACAAGTGCTGCAATATCATAACAGGACTATAATTATCCAATAGCTTTTCATTGCTCTAAATATTTTAAAGGCATTTAGGGTACTTAAAGACACTATTAAAAAGTACTCCTTTTCACTTCTCCTGGAAGCCAGTCAGAAATGTGTTTTCCTGCCTGTCTGAAGGTACTGAACCAGTTCGCTTTATGAAAAAGCAGTTCGACAACTTTTGTCATCATTGTTTTGTAGATGACAGTTTAGGACAGGACATGGTTTGTAATTAGCATTATCAGGAGTATTCTTTAGACGTGTGCATTTCAATTTTGCAATTCCTTTTACAGATTCAGTCTCAGAAGTGTAAATGATTTGTTTCACTTCAGCTTGACAACATCAGTATAGTGAGTTTCTAGATAGCTCTATTTTAATGCCCAACTAAAATTTGGATTCACAAAAGTGAAAAGGAGGCTTTGCTGGCTCTGATAGATGACTTTTATTAGAAATTTTGCAGGAGTTCTTATATTAAAATATACCATATTAGCTCCAGTAAAGGCTCCACTAGCTCTTTGTTCTTCGTGCCACAGAAGTGAAATCTATTTTGAGTGTCCTTCAATAACTTTGTCTTTACACTTAGATCTCTCACTGGATGAATACTTGTACATATTTTTGTGAATCATTAAAATTTTCACTCTCCTTCATCAACTGAGAGAAAGAAGGGAAATATATGGAAAGTGGAATCAGGGTTGTGTATCCTGAGAGGAATACACGACTGTTGTCTGTGTGTAAAGAGATAAGATTAGGAAAGCTAAGGTGCAGATGGAGCTGAGCTAGGCAGCAGATGTGAAAGATAACAAGAAGGGGTTTTACAGATACATGGGCAGGAAGAGACTGGCCAAGGAGTGTGTTCTCCCTCTGATGGTAGGTAATAGGGAACTGGCTTCTTCAGACATAGACATAGAAAAAACTGAGGTACTCAATGAGTGCTTTCCCTCAGTCTTCATGGGTGGTCAGGCTTCCCATGTCTGCCAGGACTGTGAGCCTCTAGGTGAGGGTATGTGGAGTGGTTTCTGTCCCACTGTAATGGTGGAACAAGTCTGAGTCCTTCTCATGAAATTGAATGTGTATCAGTCCATGGGGCCAGATGATATCTATCCTAAGATTCTGAAAGAGGTAGCTGATGTGGTTGCCGAGCTGCTCTCCATCATGTTTGAAAAATCATGGCTGTTTGAAGTCCCAGGTGACTGGAAAAAGGGAAATGTTACTCCCATTTTTAAGAAAGGGAGAAAGGAAGACCTGGGGAACTACAAGCTACTGATCCTCACCTCTGTGCCTGGGAAGATCATGGAGCAGATCCTCCTAGAAGCTATGTTAAGACACATATGAGATAAAGAGATGTTTTGAGATAGCCAGTGTGGCTTCACCAAGAGCAGATTGTGCCTGACCAATCTGGTGGCCTTCTATGATGGAGTGACAACTATGGTGACTGAGGGAAGAGTGGTGGATGTCATTTACTTGAACTTCTACAAGGCCTTTGACATAGTTCCTCACCACATCCTTCTCTCTAAATTAGAGAGCTGTGGATTTGAAGGACGGACTGTTTGATGGGTTAGGAATTGGCTGGCTGGATGCAGCCAAAGGGTTGTGATCAATGTTTCTGTGTCAAATCACAAGGAGGCCAGTCACAAGCAGTGTCCTTCAGGGGTTGGTCTTGGGACTAGTGCTTCAACATCTTCATAATGACATAGATGATGGCATCGAGTGCACCCTCTGTAAGTTTGCAGATGGCACCAAGCTGAATGGTGCAGTTGATACACTGGAGGGAAGGGAAGCCATCCAGAGGGACCTGGACAGGCTGGAGAAGTGGGCCCGTGAGAACCTAATGAGGTTCAGTAAGGCCAAGTGCAGGGTGCTGCACTTGAGTCGGGGCAATCCTAGGTATTTATATGAACGGGGGGAAGATCTCCTTGAGGGCCCTGCGGAGAAGAACTTGGAGTTCCTAGTAGATGAGAAGCTGGATGTGAGCCAGCAGTTGTGTGCTTGCAGCTCTGAAGGCTGTGTTCTAGGCATTTTTTTTATTTTTTATTTTTTTTTAAAAAAGGGGAGTGGCCAGCAGGGAGAGGGAGGTGATTGTCCCCCTCTTCTCAGCTCTTGTGAGGCCCCATCTGGAGTACTGCCTCCAGTACAGGAAGGATGTGGAGCTCTTGGAGCAGGCCTGATGGAGGGCCATTAAGATTATCAGAGGGCTGGAGCACCTCTTCTATGAGGAAAGGTTGAGAGAACTGGGCTTGATTAGCTTGGAGAGGAGAAGGCTCTGGGGAGGCCTCATTCTGGCCTTCTAGTACTTGAAGGGAGCACGTAAATAGGAGGGGGAACAGCTGTTATGAGGGTGGATAGTGATAGGACAAGGGGAAATGGTTTTAAACTGAGATAAGGGATGTTTAGGTTAAATATTAGGAGAAAGCTCTTCACACAGAGGGTGGGGACGCACTGGAACAGGTTGCCCAAGGAGGTTGCAGATACCTCATCCCTAGAGCCAGGCTGGATGTGGCTCTGGGCAGCCTGGTCTGGTGGTTGGCGCCCCTGCACGTAGCAGGGGGGTTGAAACTCAATGATCATTGTGATCCTTTTTAACCCAGGTCATTGTTTTTCTATAAACACAGTCTAATTTTCTTTCAACTTTTTGCTCTCATCCTCCTTTTGCAGTTTTTGTTTCTCTTTTGTTATCCTGCTTTTTGTTCCTTTTTTGTTTTCCAGGGGGTCATGTTGTGTTCAGTGTTTTCATTTACCTTTCCTCATGTGATGTTGCAGTCACAATTACTGACCTAAAGGGGTGGGCTTGAGTGATTCTTATCCTTTCCTCAGCTTAATTTTTAAGTATTCTGTTAAAAGAGTGGTGTTTGTTGATTTTGCTTTGTTTCCCCTGGATGAAGATGACCCATCCTAAGAAAAAGCAATGAGCCATGCTCTGTTACTCAGCACTCCAAAAGTCAGTGTATGAAAATGAATAAATTGATTCTCTGTCCTTCACTATGATTTGTATTATCTTGCTCTTTATTGAATTAAATGTGTTAATAAAGGACTTATGTAGCAGCTAAAAAGGAGCTGGCTGTCATTTATCAATTAATTACCCATGAAAACTGAAGTTACGTGGTAGTAGTAATTGTACCCATGGTGTCAGGCATATGCTATGTAAAAATGCAGTCACCTTGAAATAGTCTGGCCAAACTAGCTTATAACCCACAGAATGCTATTGAAAATATAGCTGGACTGGAATTTGTTCTGCAGTAATATATAGATGGCAGAATATTTTTTTTTTTTGGTTCTAGTTTAGGGTTGCAGGTGATAAGATAAATAGCTCAACCAATTTTAATTCTGAAATGAGGAATTTCTACCTTGCCAGATCTTATGCATATGAAGTAAGTTTAATGTTTGGGAGTGAGGGGAAGGATTTGGGGAGGGCAGATGGTAGAAAATGAAGGTGTTCTATCATCTTTTTTGAATCTGTATTGACTTCAACAGCTAATTTCTAAATGATATGATACTGCCTCCAGTGCTGTTCTTTTTTTAAAACCAGGCTGATGCTTAGTCAGCTGCAGTCATTTTATTGGTATGTGAGGAAAGGTTCTATGGGGCTGCTAAAGTTACAAGTGGCATTATATGCTTCAAGTCATTTGTGCTGCATTAGGTTGCTGCTGTAGGTGTTTAAAGAGAAAACAGTATGAAACAGGAGAATATTTCTGCCTTGTAATACCTCCCAGGTTCACTCTGGAACAAGTGAAAGAACTGTAAATGAAAAAGCATATGGAAGTATGAAAATCTTATCTTGGTGGCTGTGTAATATGTGATGTTCCTGTTCTCTTACAGTACTCATCATTGAAAGTGTTCTTGAACCCCCACAGCACTAATGTTGTTTAGTCTTCTTGCAGCCTGTTTGCTGTTTTGGCCAAGTTAATGGCTTGATGAACTTTTCCTGTTATGATGACATGAACAGATACTAAGACAGTTTAGAATTTGTGGCTGAAGTGTCAGACAGTGAATGCAAATAATTGCATGTTATTGTTTGTGCTTATATTAGAATTTAGCTATGCTAATTATATTGTCAAAGTCTATTATCTTTTTCATTCCTACAGGGGAAGATGTAGTCATTTCCCAAGAAAGCTTACAGTTGACCCTTGTAGATGAGCTATAATGAGTGAGTAACAAATAGGAACAAAGAGAGGCTGAAAGAGCAGCAGCAGTGCGATAACCTAAAGCCTGCTCAAATCAGAACCAAAATGCTCATTAACTACAATTGTCTTTGGAGTCTGGAAGGATGATATAAGAACAAAAAAAAATTCTGAAGACCTTTCAGTTCTTATATCTATCATCTTGTATACCCTTTCAGTAGACTTTGAGCAGAAAACAGAGGATTGTCTTGAGAAGGCAATTGAATTTTGGTGCTTTATGTGGTTATTCATCATGGTTAAATAAACACTGCCTTAATATGAATGTAATTTTGTAAGTCGCATATTAGAATTTTCTTCAACTTTAACCTATAGCTTAAATGAAAAATAACATCAATCAAATGGCAAGAATTATGCACAAGCATTTATTTCAGTGTCAGAGATATTTGAATGCAGTTAGTATTTCAGTTGTGCCAATAAATAAACAATACATTTATTCTAGCTTTATTTTTGGAGCATTTTAGACTTCAAGTGTATTATATGCTTCTGATCATACATTATGCACAATGTACTCTTTGTAATTATGGCAATCTGACTAGTTGCTAAGGTTGAAAAAGGTGACTGCCACTAGAAATCAGAAAAAGTGAATTAATTAATGCATTTTGTTATGTAAGAGCACTATCAAAATTGCTATTCTATGTCAAGTTCAGAAATATGCTAAAATGCTGCTCTTTGAAAAAATGTATTCTTAGTATTTCAGTTGCACTGACGGAGATTCGCACACTTCAGGTTTCAAAGTCTTATATGTATCTCATGTCAAAAATCTCATCTGTAAATGATTCTACCTATGTGCAGTAGAACAGAATGAGGAGAAGTGAGGTCAGTGTATAGGTAATTATTGTAAAAAAATAAAAATAAAAATAAAAAATCCAAAAACAAAAAACAACAACAACAAAAAACATGAAATAAGAGACTACCACCTCCTTTTTTAACTGTCCTGTATCAAGGAGGTTCCCAGGTAGGGTAAATGTCACATTAAAACTTCCAGGTTGGGGTGCTGGCTGAAGAAAACTTCTCTGTAGAAGAAAGTGTTTATGATAAGGTTTTACATCTAGTCCAGCTAGGGGGATTGTGTGTAAAGCTTGGCTGTTTCCTTAGGTACTCAACACATCTAATAAATACCAGATTACATATTATATTTAATGTTATTGCATAGAACGTTTGCCCAGGGAGGTTTTGGATGCCCCCTCCTTGAAGGTGTTCCAGGCCAAGCTGGTTGAGGCTTTGAGTAATATGGGCTAGAAGGAGATGTCTCTGTTTGTAGTAGGGGGGTTGGAGCTAAAATGACTTTAAAGGTCTCTTCCATCCCAAACCAGTCTATATTCTACTTGTAAAGTCCATGCACTATAGAAATTGATGGTGTTTTGGCCTGTGGTTGACCTCTAGTCCTGTTTTAAGGCATACTTCCAAACCAGGCCACCTTGTGTCATTTTGTGTTTAGGTTTAGTAGGGAAGGCACTGATGTTTGCTGGGAACTTGGTGTTGATGTGATTAGCTGCTGCTTTTTCAGGCTGAGGGATTCCTTGTTAAATTGTTTTTGGCTGATTCAAAGCATGGTAAAGGTGGTAAAAGGATAAATACCTTAGTTTTCCTGTTGTAACTCTGTAAGAAGCCTTCAGTTTGATGAAGGAAGTGTAAAACTGCTTTTTTCTTCTCTGGATACTGTTTTAAGAATACAGGTTTTAAATCCCTGCTGAGGGTGAGCATGGCTTGTCTGTTTCTCTGGCAGAGACAGAAGCACAAGCTCCTCAAAAACAAATGATGTGTCAATGGCCAACTGCAGAAAAGATAAAGGATTCCAAGCATTGTGAATATTGCAGTCAACTTATTTAATATCCTTTCATTCCAGTTTCTTTCATAACTTTATTCTTTGCTAGTCAAAATATAAGTTGTTTAGTTGAATACTTTCACAGTAGTATGATACAATAGGTTCTGCCATATTCCAATATAGTGTGGCTTACCTGTATGTATTACTTGCCCTCTTCTTCTCCTCCTTCTATAAAACAAGTTTCTCGGTCAGTCTTTTCCATTTCTCATTTAGATCATCATTGTCTTGTCTCCTTTCAGCTATAGTGCTAAATGAATGAACTCTGATTAAACAAGTGGAGAATCTGTGATGTAAACTAAATTTCAGATAAAAGAAGAGCAAAGAAAAAGCATCCTATTAAGGGCAAGCAATAACCAGGAAGTAAAAGAAAAAAAAAAAAAAAAAAAAAGGAAAAATCGAGCAGAAAAAAAGTTCAAGGGTGATAATGAAAAGGATTGGAGCCCTTTTGGAGGGTAAATACTTTTAGACAGGTATTGATCTGATGGGGAAAAAAAGAGCATATGCTCTCCATTGTGAAATAGCACTTATGGGGGTGATGCATGCAGGAACAAGGTTACAAGTAGTGAAGAGAACCAAAGCATTTATCCATGGCTGGGAAACACTTTGAAAAATGAAAGTCTTGTTTGTCTTTATTTTAAATGCCAGTACCCCAGACTAAGAGTCAACAGGCTGAAATACAGGAGTGGTTCAGAAGAGTAATCGTGCTCACTGAAGTCAGCAAAAATTTTGCTATTAACTGGTTGTCAGGGCTTCACTACAGGCTTTACTGTTGTAGTCTGCTGATGATTGCAGAATTAAACACATCAACAAAAAATATGTGGAGAAATTGCTTCTCATTTTTTCACTTTCTCCTACTGAAGACATTGCTATGGCCCAGAGTTGGGCTTGGAGTAATGGGCACAGGTGATTTTTCTACCTGCCTGTCTAGTTGAACTAGATTACTGGGTCATTTCACTAAATGGAAGAAATTGAATATGTGTAAATACAAATGTTCTCT